AAAAATATAAAAATAAAATAAAAATAAAAATAAAACAATTAAATCACATTCAATTCAATTTAAACAAATAATAAAATCAATTAAACAAGTAAACAATTAGCCAAGAAAACAACTAAATAATTAAATGCAATTAAACCTATTAAAATAATACCGAGACTATCCTTTTTAAATTAGGGATATTACATGCTTGATCAGGTTTCTTTTGCTGTCTACATATTCACCACACCTAGCTTTACTCTAAATTCATTTTGAAGAAAAGTATCTTGAGAAATTTACATACATTATCCTAAAATGCAGGGTTACAATCCCATATTATTTGACTTTGGTATGCTACCTGGTGCAGTTCTTGGTGATAAGACAAACGAACCGAGTAGGTTTTTGCCTGGATCTTTTGGTTACATTGATCCAAAGACTAGTACTGGTATGACAATTTGATGTTTAATTTTTAATTTTTTTTCTAGATAGATAAGTTATTGCTATACTCACCATCAGACATCTTTTTAATGAGATTCTGTAAACTTGTAATGTTACCACTAGAGAATATGCTACATGAGATGGTGAAAAAAGAAGAAAGGGGTCATAAAACCTTTGTTGTTTCATAACCAAAGGGAAGTTTAGCCCAATGGTATAACCTCCCCATCCTCAAAGAGGAGGGAGAGGGGTTTGAGCATGGGCATGCGCGAAAGCACGCGAGTAGTTACATCATCCAAAAATAAAAAAATAAAATAAAATAAAGAAATGAGAAGTGAAAATGAACCCATTTAAATGAAAGTGTCTTTTTGCATAATTGTAAATTTGTTCTTGTCAGCTCTTTTTAGTCAGGAGTCCGTAGTGCTGAATGTCAGAGGTTTGAACATTTATTTGAACCTCACTATTGGATTTCTCAGCCAACTAAAAACTTGGGTGATGTTTTTTTTGGGTCGTTAGGCTTAAATGTATCACTAAAGATTGACTGAGGTTATGGCCTTAAATAGAGCAGAATGATAACTTAGAATTTATGTAGCTGACCCCAAGTAGTTGGGAAAAGGCTTGGTTGTTGTTGTCAGTTAAAATATATTGATAAAACGATGTACAGCGTAATTCATTGCTTGCTTGAAAGGTTTGGAGCTACATATAAGGGTTTTGTTTACGTAATAATGAGGTGTTACCCGTAACATAGTAGAGATCCAGAGTGGACTGAGTGAGGTGAAAGTCCATGCAAACTTTTGAGAGAGAAAGAAATGATGGCAATGTCAAAGTTCACCATTGACTACCTTGGTGAAGGTTTACATATGAGAGAACTAGACAAAGCATAGGTGAGAGAGTGATGGTTCTTCTGATTTTCTTCTCTCCTTTGGCTTTGGTAAACTGTCATTTTATAGGGCAAAGGTGAGGGTAGATGAGGCCATCATGTGGTAATATATGAACTTAATGAAATAATAAAGAGAGAAAGTATATGTACAAACAAAGTAATGCGAGACAAGGGTGTAGAATTGTTATGCGAGAGAAGCAGTTTTATATAACAATAATGACAATTAGAATGAATTTTATAATTTAATTGATAGTTGTAGCTCCTAGACTTTGACTTTAGGATGAAGAGAAATAATTGCGGGAGCATAAGCATTATAATCTAATAATGAAATAAAGATATGAAATAATAAATAAATAAATGAATGGTATAGAATTAATTGATTTATTTTTACTTATCAAAAATAAATAAATAAATGAATAATAATAATAATAGAAAAAAAATGTAACTAACAATGAGTCGAAATAAATTAAATGGAAAAGACCAATGGTATGGACATATTAAACCGCATTCGATGTTGGTCGGGCAGCACGCAGGTCTCGAGAGGTGTTGATCCGAAGTTGCACTCGAGTTGCAAGGTGTGCTCGAGGAGAGATTTAGTTTGTGAGGTGGACACTAGTCTCGATCAGTTTGTTGAGATAGTTAAGAGCGCAAGAAAGGAAAACAAAGGGTAATCGAACACCCCATTTGAAGGGAAAGACTTGGCCTCGTGATAATAAATTAATAATCTCATTCTTTTTTCTTTTTTTTAAAAGCCCATCAAAGAGATACTTGAGGGGAAAAACTATCTAGTGATGATTTACAATAGGTTTTAGTCTTTATACTATATCTATATATATATACACACTCAAAACAAAATAAGGTGTTACTGAGTGAGATGAAAGCCGAGGCAAACTTGAGAGATAGAAAGTGGGCAAGAAGCCGGGGCAAACTTGAGAGAGAGAAAGTGGGCAAGTGCCATGCACAACACTTGCCCATACAAAATAATGGGCGAGTGTCATACACTTGGCCACTTGCCCATACAAAATAATATGAAATTATATTACATTATTTTTTATTGACGTATTTGTGTCCAATATTTTCCAGTTTCGATCAGTGTACGGATATAAAATTACCAAGCTAGCAATGCGCTGTGTGCAAAAAGAAATGATACTCCACCCAACAATGAAGGAAATTGTTCAAATTTTGGAGGATGTCTCTGGTGTTCGTTGTCATTATGGTGATGTGGGTTTTTAATCTGATGCTTCTAGGGTCTCTGTGCAGGTGGAAGATTCAGTTTACTGTTCTTCAAGCTAATTTCCAAATTCTGGAAAACTCAGATAACTGCAACAACCAAACATGTTACCTTTACCTTTTTTTCATCTTCTTTTAAGGTCCTTATATTATCTTCGTTCTGATTGATATTCATATAGTACAGTATTTTGCATCCGATGATGGTAATGTGAGATCTGGTAATTGTTCATGATAGTATCAATTCCATGACGTTAGCCTTTCTAGGACGTCTTGTTTTGGCCATTGTGTGTGGAAAATGGTATTTGAAGCTGACTTATTGAAACTGATGAAGAATGATATTGCACAGATTTGTTCATAGGTTTTATCCAAAAATGTCTCATTCTATTTGGAAATAGCACATGTATATATAAGCATTTCACCTTCATCTTTTCCAGAGATGTGAGATTGTGCAACTCCCAGAGTCCACCTACATCACACAGGCCGGTCTATCTCATGCCCAGGACCCTATATAGGAGGAGCCAGCTGAGCCCACACAGTCTCCTCATTCTGACAGTAGATTACACTCTGATGCTGGAGTATCTCCTTCACACGGTGATGCTGAGGCTGAGAACATACCATCTCCACCGCCACAGCCAGCTCAGCCAGCCCAGGAGCTTTATCCTAACTAATCCCCGAGACAGCATATAAAATACCCATTCCATATGGGTCGGACAAAACTTGAACTTTTTACCCACAAGCAGGAATGGACCCAGAAAAAATACGTAAGAGGGGGTGATTTTTAACAAAAAAAAAAAATGTTGAGGGGGCAATAGTGGAGTTTTTTTTATTAAAGATGTTGTAAAACATACCGAATCCAAGTTTTTAAGCAAGAAAAAAAAAATTAAAAAAAAAAAAAAAACAACTCAAACCATAATTAAGCAGCTTGAAAGGGCTTTCTGCTAACTATGAATGACTGAAAAGGCTTTTACCATCACAGGTTGCCTTCACAGACACCAACCAGAATGGGAAACATTCATTTTCAAAATTTATGCCTCAAGGTACAGTTTTATCGGATATGAATTTTTTTTTTTCCTTTTTTTTGGGGCACCGGATTTAATAATGAGTAGAATCTTTTTTGGGAAAACTACACTCAGTAGAGTTGGGAGTTCTAATTACAGAGTCTAGTTTTCACTTTAGTTGAATTAGACAAAATAATTACACATGCATTGAAAATGGCTTTTTTAAATCAAATAATTCATTGATGAATTTGTTGGGAGTTTACTTGTACTCAACTTTTCAAAGTCGGGAACTTTACTTAATTATTAAGGAATTTCCATTCGCGGTTTTTATCTATGGATTGTGCTTGAATTTCACTCTCAATAAATTGATATTATCCTATTAATATTTAATGGTTTGAAAGAATGTTTAGTTTCTTCAATAGAGCATTTAACCGAACAAATGATTTGCACACAATTTCATCTCAAAACAAACATAAACAAAGTCTTTTGCTCTAGAAAATGAAAATATTATTCTATAGATAAAGAAGACGCAAAATTATATGTAAATATATGTTATCTTAGTGTATATGTATATATAGAGAGTGTATACTCTATAACATAAATCTCACTTTGTAATTTGTTGTAATGAATTCGATTTCTTGTTGTGCAATAAAAGACAATGATGTCTTGGATTTGCAAATCCTACTTCAGTTATACAGAAACCAATGTGGAATTCCTAATGAGTTTTGTTATTTTGCTGATTTATTGAGTGAATATATTATTTAATTTTGAAGGATAATTTAGTATTTTAAAATCAGAAGGTGGGGAAATTTAAACTTAAATAATTATTCTCAATCTATATGTAATTATTTTGTCTAATTCAACTAAATTAAAAAATTAAACTTTAAAATAGATTACTTTATAATATATGACTCATAAGTTAAGTCACATAAAGCGAGAGTGAGAGCGCAAGTGAATTTGAGAGCGCGAGCGTGAGAGTGGCAAAATTAAGTCATAAAGACATAAACAGTGAAAATTTAACCGAGAGTGAGTGCGGAGCGTGAGAGCGGGAGCGCGCTCGGAACGTGAGAGCGACACATGTTGAGAAGAATTGCGTGACTTAGCTCCTAAGTCTATTTAAACATAGCCTCCCAATACTTTTGAAAATTGTACATTTACTATAGTTTAGGAAATTATTTGTCAAATGAGGATATTGGCTGCAAAATTTATTTTAAAATATATGTGAAATCAACAATAATTTTTTTCAAATATTCTTTATTTATTTATTATTTTTTTTTGAGATTGTCTGCGTCATTTAATAATCAAAACCAAAGGACTTGGTGTGTTTTTTCTCTTATTTTCTTTTCTTTTTCTCTTCTCCTTTCAGATTAATTGGGCTGTTCGAGTGAAGTGGATTGGGCCCAACGTTCTCTGTCTGAGGCGGGCCCAAAGATTCTTGCACACATCACAACCCTGGTTATCACACACCATAGGAACCGAGTGTGTGTTTTGGCTCGAAATCAAACAGAAGCTTAGTCTGGAAGGAAGGGCGTAGAGAGAGAGAAGACCTAATCCTAATTGAAGGTGAGAATCTTTTGTTTCCCCCATTTAATATGTAGGTTTGCATGTAGAATCCAAAATATTCTATCAATTTGAAAATTTCAGTTTCGTTTTAATATATAATTTTTGTTTTTATTATTAAAATTTCATTGGGAAGTGCAGACCGTGATCGCCTTGTGTCATTGTTACCTGATCATCTATTGTATCCCAAATCCTGGTTTGATTAATCGTTCATGGTTCTGATTTCTGTGTTGTCCTTGTTTCATTTAAATTTCATTGTTTGGCGCCAGGGAATTCATGCCTTGGAACTGAAATTGGGGAACATCTAATTCGTATTGTGGACTGATATTGTCTTCAATTTCAGTTATAGGGTATTGCTCTCTCACTGCCAACGTAGCTTTAATGATTTTGTAGATTGTTCTATATTGGTTGAACCAGTTTAGACAACTTTAGTACTCAAAATCTTCAAATTGGTGTTTGGATTGGCTTCATATCTGTGTGCGTGTATACTAATAAATTTGGTTTGATGTGATTTTACTCATAATGATGCAATTTATACACAAAAAAATGTAGGATGTATTCGTGAGTATATTGATTTCACATGGTTCATATGAAAAGAAACTTTGTCTGACCATTTATATTCTGCCATACAAAACTGGAATAGGTCCAGCAATGGAAGGAGAAGGATTGGATCTTAGGAAATGTTCTCCTGAGGAGTTAAAAGATTTAACCGATAATTTTAGCGAAACAAACCTGATTGGGGAAACCCAATTTGGCAGAGTGTTCTGAGGAAAGACTCAGCAAGGTCAGGATGTGACGGTGAAGATCTGGGAAGAGGGAGGATTACTTTTTGTTGGCAAGAATGAAAATCGTTCCCAATTGATGGTAATAACAATTTTTGTTTTTGATTTTTTTCCCCAGTTTCGTGTTTCAATAATCTTAATTTGAATTTTGTAGGTTATATATGTTGTTCTTGTAGTTTTCTATGATGTGTTTCTATCTTCCCAGGCAGAATGTACTTTTCTAAAAGAGCCGAGTGTCAACCATCATCCAAACTTGGCCAAGTTGATGGGATACTGCTGTGAAGATAGTCTTTTGTGTGTTGTTTATGATCTTAATCCTTTGGATACATTGCGTAATCTCATAGTTAAAGGTATTAAAACATTTTTCACTTTGATTCTTTTGTTACACCTAGATTTTATCTTATCATGTATCACTTTGTTGTGCATATAGATCAAAATTTTCAGTTTATGTTTGGAGAGTTTTTGTGGGGGCGAAACAATACTTGCAGAATAATAACCATGATCGCAATACGAACTTATTCTGTTGTTCATCATATCGTGATCTAAGATGACATTTATAGCTTTGCCTTGCAGTCAATATCCGATTAATTCTTAAGCTGGGTCTTAAGCTGATCCGATTAGGAGTTAATTTGTTTAGTTTTGCACCTTATTGGATATATTCAATTAATTGCTGCAACCAGTACACGGTGTGGTGGTTATTTGCTGCAGGCAGCAGGTATGTTAATGTAATTAAGAAAGTTTCTTCGTTTCTGTTATTTACCAACACTTTTTTTTTTTTGGGTGTAGATAGTTTTTCCTGGCTCCAAAGAATCAAGGTGGCAATTGGATTTGCACGTTTGCTTGAGCTTTTGCATGGTCAATCACCGGAATACATTGTTCGCATATTGATGCTGCACATATAATGCTTGATCAGGTTGATTTTGCTGTCTACGTGTTCACCGTACCTAGCTTTGCACGAAACTCATTTTGAAGAAAAGTATCTTGAGAAATTTACATGACATTATGTTATCCTGAAATGCAGGGTTACAATCCAATAGTATTTGACTTTGGTATGCTTACTGGTGGAGTTCTTGGTGATAAGAGTAGCGCCCCGAACAGGTTATTGCTTGGATCTTTTGGTTATATTGATCCGAGGATTCCTGCTTCTGGTATGTCAATTTGATGTTTGTTTTACAATTTTTTGTTAGATAGATAAGTTATTGCCTTCTTCACCATGAGACATATTATTTATGAAATTTTGCAATCACTAAAGATTATGCTATATGAGAGGGTGAAAAAAAAAAGAGAAATGAGAAGTGAAAATCTAACCATATAAATGGAAAAGACTTTTTGCATAATCATAAATTTGTTCTCGACCGCTCTTTTTAGTTGAATCTGCATTGCTGAATGTCAGAGGTTTGAACATTTATATTTGAACCTCTCTCTTGGATTTCGCAGCGAACTAAAAACTTGGAAAATTATTCTTACGTTAAAATGTATTACAAAAAAGATGTACAGTGTCGCTTAATGCTCGCCTTGAATGATTTTATCAAGCATCATAACTGACACCATAAAGAAGCTAATAAGTGTAACTTTTCACATTATAGAGTAAAAGATCCTAGACGCTAAAAAAATCCTCCCACAACTTGAGAGGTATTCTGTTATTTCTTAGGGTGATCTAGTTAGTGAAAAATACACGGACCTCTCCTATGTTTTGGATAATTACACTTACCTCCCCTTTAAGTAACAGGCGTTAATGCTCGCCTATAGAGTTTAAGAATTTACTATATTGAAATATGGCTGCCATTTCACATTAATCTTCTAAATACAATGAGAAAATAATAAACATTATCACTTATATAAAAATAAAATAATAAATATTAGGGATTATTACATATAAATGGTGCAAATGACCTATATTTACCATTTGATGGAGTCAAATTATCATAGTTTCGAAAAAATGAAGACATGGAAAAACACTGTTTACCCTCACTGGGGTATCACTTTTAAGCACATAGGTACCATTTTTTGTGCGTGCAGGTATCATTTTTTGTCATTAGATACCACTTTTTGTGTTGCACAAAAAAATGGTACCTAATGCACAAAAAAGTGGTACCTATGTGAATAAAAATGGTACATCTATGCTCAAAACAAAAGTGGTACCTGATGCACAAAAAGTGGTACTTCCGTGCACAAAAAATGGTACCTATGAGTCTAAAAGTGGTACCTCAGTGAGGGTAAAAGATGTTTTTCCATGTCTATATCAGCATTTTTGTCAACTTCATTTTTTTGAAACTCTGAGACTTTGATTTCATTAAATGGTAAATATGGGTCATTAGCACCATTTATATGTAATAATCCCTAAAAATTATTATAATAGCTCGAGTTCAGGTTGCACATCTCTCAACCTTAGCCTAAATTGAAATGAGATCTATTTAAGAGACATATATCCAAGCTCATCTTAGACAATGAAAAACCTATCGCGACTCAACCTCAGTTTGGGTTGAGTTAACTCAACCAACAAACCCGTAGTAGGATATGGCTCCACCCATGTTGAATATCCTAAAAATCATGTTTTAATTTTTTTTGCCATTTAGCTATATAGACACACTAGGCACACATTGCATACACAACACAGACACAATATTGATATGTCATGGACATCATACAATTGTCCAGTCATAGCCGTCACAATCAGCAGGAGTTGCTATATAAAATCACCCCCCACCCCCCACCCCCCCCCCCCCCCCCCGCGGCGGTTCACGCACACCCCCAAAAATTATTTATATAAGAGGTAAGCTTGCACATTTTGAAGCTGTGAAGATGAAAATGAATCAATAAAATTATAATGGATGTAGAATAAAGAACAATTTTGTTATTCGTTTTGGGTACAAAATTTTTTATATATATATTATTTATAAATAGATGGACCGTCTGTGGAGCAGCGGCTCAATAGGGAAGTGATTCGGTGTGGGCGTGTACATGGGAAGATGTTGTACCCGCCAATCAGGGCCATTAGATTAGTTGAATTTATGTGGATTGATATGGTACATTGCGGCACATGGAATTGTGGTACACATATTGATCTGGACCATTAGATTATTTAATTTTAGGTGGAATAATCCGGTGCATTGCGGCACATGATAAGATGTTAAACACCCTAATTTAGGCCATTGGATTAATTTAATATAAGTAAAATGATTCGGTGCATTATGGTGTATGGAAAAGGGTACGCATGTGCATCCGGACCGTAGATGTGGTCTAGTCAACAAAGGAATAATCTAGTGTAAGCGAGCTCACAGTAACTGAAAACTCCAGCCAATCAGAACGCGCAGTACACATGGAAACTTGGATCTGGTGCATGCAAGTGCGTGAAAAGCGCGTGGGCGCGCGTGCTGATCCATTGTGTGACACTAAATTGAAACGGTTATAATTCAGTCATTTTAAATCGAAATTGGGTCATTCTTGAGTTCAAATTTAAGAATTTTTCGTCCTCTTTTCAATGGTACCAATTTTATTATCAGATTCCCATCATACTAGGAGGTATTTACGTTTTAGTGAGACGGTATTGAAAAATTATTTACTGAGATGGAGTATTTATGGGAAACTATTTCTGACGATATTTAGTAGCATTTAAATTGCGTAAATATAATTAAATTAATATATTATTAGGGAAGGAAGTGTATGTGTATATATATATATATATATATATATATATATATATATATATATTATATGTATGTATGTATACATGTGTATATAAGGTTTAATTGCTTAGGATAAGTATGGAGGGATGTGTATGTATATATATAGATATATATTGATATATATGTATATATATGATTTAAATAATAAAAAATTATTATGGATGGTATTATACATATTTATATATTATATAATATATGTGTATGTATATATATATCAATTAAGATTATTATTATTATTCTTATTTGATATATCTGGAGAGGCTGGTTAGCAAATTTGTGATATGCTTATAATTTACCGGAGATGTTTATGTATGAATTAGCTTACTGTCAAGTTTAAAGCTAATACATAGTTAAGTTGTAAGCATAAATAAGTTGTCATAGGCGTAAATATATTGCCTAAGTATTTGTATGAATAAAATACATACATAGGAAGCATGAATGAGTTGATAGTTTAAAAGTATAAAATATATACTTGTGGAGGCATGGTTGAATTGCTAATGTATAAATAAATATACTTATGGAGGTATGGTTGAATTGCCAAAGTATAAATATATATACTTAAGGAGGCATGGTTGAGTTGCCAATATATAAATAAATATATTTATAATGGTATGGTTGATTTGCCAAAGCATAAGTTAATGGTTATGGGTATTAGATGTTTAAATTATATCTACGGTTATTGTATGTATAAGTTAGATTAGGATTAGATATTCTTAAATTAGAATAATCTAGTAGTTACATGTTAGTGTATTATTTTATATATATTAGTAAAATAATATTAGTAGAGACATGGATGATTTGTCAAAGCCTAGGTATTGGCAGTATGATTTAAATAATTAAATTCATTATTGGCTTTTGGATTAAATATAATTTTTCTTGTATTATATTTTATTATTTAAATGATTAAATATTTATTTAAAATGGAGTTAAAGTTAAAGGGGTTTCTCTTTAAAAGAGAAGGAGTTTTGAGTTGGTTTAGGTGTGATTATGTTTAATCATGGTTTAATGATTTTAAAAATTAATGAAACTATTAATGGAAGGGAATGTTATACTGTATATAATTATTTATACATATATGTTTCATTGTTTATTAAACTTAAAACTTTATTAGGTTTGATTTTGATCCGAGATGATCTACTTATTTGTTTTCAGAGGTCTGATAGAGAAAACTTGTTCGTAGGGTTTAACCCACGATTTATTTTTCAGGTTATTAGAGGTTCCAGTCTCGAGGTTGAGGATCCACAGCTGGGAGACTGTCATTCATCTATTCATCTTGTGTACTTTTAAGTAGTATTGGATTATTGAATAATGTTTTAAGGGGTCCTTGAGTTACTGGATTTCCGAATTGTAATTGTTGGAGAATTATCAATTAATATTTATTTATTAGTTTCTTCAGCGGTTTATTTATTCTTTATCATTCATCTTTGTATTCTGTACTTGTTTAAATACTTTAATTGTTCTGATATCCCCTGGTTTTGTTCGCGGACTTGATCAACCCGTGTTCTGAAATTAGGGGGTATCACATTTGTTTTCACAGTTAGATCATCACCTAGTTTTATTCTGAATCTCTTTTCACAGTTTGATTCTGTAACAATAAGAAACTGAAAAACCTTAAAATTTAATCGAAGACGGGGCTGTGGTGGGATGGGGATGGGGCAAGTGATGGCGGGGCAGGGGCGGTTATGGGGGTGGGGTAAGATTTTAATCGGTTATGGGGGTAGTTTTGGGGGTACTGAAATTAAACGGGAGCGGGGATAGGGAATGGGAAACCAGCCCCAAACCGCCCCATTGCCATCCATATCTTAATGGCATGGAGGAGAGTGTGCGCGCTAACAAAAGTAGCACGGAGATTCTTAAACAAGGGATCAGATGGGGGTTTTCGTGGAGGATAAACATAGGCCACGGTAATGATTTATTTTTATTTTTTTTCTAGTCAAATTGACTTAGAAACCAATCTGGTAATAGAATTAGATTGTGTGATCACAAATAAGACAAATAAGAAATAAGGTGTTTGTGTGTGATTCATACAATGTAATAGAAAGAAAGCAAATCAGGTTTTTGAATTAGATAAATAAACTATATTAGGGAAAAGATACATGTTCATTCTATGGTTCCCAAGGACCGAGATAGCAAACCTCCCATTTGTTCCTCCAGTCCATCTATAGCCATCCTTCCCCCATAACACTGGACCTAACCCTCCCCTCCCTAGTTCATTTGCAGGTAGATAATCGCTGAAGGAGTTCATTTGTTCTATAAAAAAACTTAAATGAACCATTTCCTGTAAAATAAAAATTGATATTAATGAAGAAAACCTAATTCAAAATAATTAAAGATAAAAACAATATATTGCATGAAAATAGAATTTACGGCGTTTTGATCAATTTTGGAATTATTACATAATTGAATTACAATTCAAAATCATTTGTTAGGATAAACCATTCATCCAAAATTTATGTTTATTCAAAATAATGTTTTCCAAAATCATGCTTTAATAGTTGATTTGAAGCAACACCAGCAAACAAATAAATAAAGTTAATTAATAAGATAACAATACACACACGAAAAAAAAAAAAAGATGGAAAAACTTGTTCAAGCCCTCGTAAATTAGTCTGGTACTTAAATAAAAATGGACAAGTATTTTCAAATCAATGTTGTCAAACAACCGAACAACACTTCAAGCTTCAAATCAGTCCAATACATAAACAACAAATTCATGTTTATTCAAAATGATGTTTTCCAAAATCATGCTTTAATAATCGATTTGAAACAACACCAGCAAACAAATAAATAAAGTTCATTAATAAGATAACAATGCACACACGAGGAGGGGTGGCAATTTACCCCAACCCGTTGGGGAACCGCCCAACCCCTGCCCCGTTTAAAGTGGGTTTGGAGAACCGTTTATTTCAATAGGGCGGGGATGGGGATTGAAAAAAAAACCGCCGGTTTCGGGGCGGGGGCGGGGGATAGGTACCCCCAGCCCGAAACCGCCCCGGTTAGATATGAAATTAGTATTAATAGTTTTATAGTTTACCCTTACCTGTTATTGTATTTACCAAACAAACATTCATTATATATATATATATATATATATATATATAAGGAAACCGTATTCAGGCATTCCTATCTTCTAAGTTCTAAGATGCAGCCACGCCTGAGAACCATCCCAACTGAGAACAAAGCAGTTAATGAGCGACGAAGCCAACATAATATGACCTCCTTCACCATCTTCAAATCTTCATCTTCTCTCTCTTGTTCTCTGGCCTCAGATCTCTACAGCCTCAGCCGAGTGATGAAGCAAATCGACACCACTTCTCATCCCCTCACCCTCATGGGGCTTCCTTCAGTCCTTCACCATCTTCTCTCTCTTCTTCTCCAGCCATAAATCTCTGATCAATGAAATATATATATATATATATATATATATATATATATATATTTGATGCATCAAGTTATACCTTTTCACAGATTGATTCTTCTTTTGTTATCATGGGTTTTGTTTTCACAGTTAGATCATCCATAGTTTTATTTTGATTCTCTTTTCGCAGTTTGATTCTGTAACAATAAGAAACCGAAAAACCCAAAAATTTAATCAGGGATGGGGTTGTGGCGGGGCGGGGATAGGGCAAGCGATGGCAGGGCGGGGGCGGTAATGGGGGTGGGGGTAAGATTTTAATCAGTTATGGGGGCGGTTTTGGGGTACTAAAATTAAACGGAGGCGGGGATGGGGAATGGGAAACCCGCCCCAAACCGCTCCATTGCCATCCCTACACACGAGAGAGAGAGAGAGAAAAAAAAAAAAAATAGAGCAGGTGGAAAAACTTGTAACACCTTCAAGCCCCCGTAAAATAGTCTGGACCTAAATAAAAATGGACAAGCATTTTCAAATCAATGGTGCCAAACTACCGAAGAACACTTCAAGCTTCAAATCAGTCCAATACATAAACAACAAATTCATGTTTATTCAAAATGATGTTTTCCAAAATCATGCATCATAATCAATTTGAAACAACACCTATAAACAAATAAATAAAGTTCATTAATAAGATAACAATACACACACGAGTAGGGGTGGCAATTTACTCCAACCTGTTGGTAACCGCCCGCCCCCACCCTATTTAAAGCGGGTTTGGAGAACCGTTTATTTAAATGGGGCAAGGATGGGGATTGAAAAGAAAAAAAAAACCGCCGGTTTCAGGGCGGGGGCGGGGGCGGGGGCGGGGGATGGGTACCTTCGCCCCGAAACCGCCCCGGTTAGATATGAAATTAGTATTAATAGTTTTATAGTTTACCCTTGCCCTGTTATTGTATTTACCAAATTAACATTCATTATGTATATATATATATATATATACATATTATACACTTATAAGGAAACCCTATTCAGGCATTCCTATCTTCTAAGTTCTAAGGCGCAGCTACACAGAGCCTGAGAGCCATCCTAACTGAGAACGAAACTGTCAATGAGCAACGAAGCCAACGTAATATGACCTCCTTCACCATTTTCAGATCTTCATCTTCTCTCTAATGTTCTCCGACCTAAAATCTCCACTACCTCAACCGAGCGATAAAGCGAATCGACACCACTTCTCATCCCCTTACCCTCGTGCGGCTTCCTTCAGTCCTTCACCATCTTCTCTCTTTTCTTCTCACGCCATAAATCTCTGATATATATATATATATATATATATATATATATATATATATATTGATGAATTAAGTTATACATTTTCACAGATTGATTCTACTTTTGTTATCATGGGTTTTGTTTTCACAGTTAGATCATCCCTAGTTTTATTTTGATTCTCTTTTCACAGTTTGATTCTGTAACAATAAGAAACCGAAAAAACCCTAAAATTTAATCGGGGACAGGGTTATGGCAGGGCGGGGACGGGGCAAGTGATGGCGGGGCGGGGGCGGTTATGGGGGTGGGGGTAAGATTTTAATCGATTATGGGGGCAGTTTTGGGGGTACTAAAATTTATACGGGGGCGGGGATGGGGAATGGGAAACCCGCCCCAAACTGCCCCATTGCCATCCCTATACACATATACATATTATACACTTATAAGAAAACCCTATTCAGACATTCCTATCTTCTAAGTTCTAAGGCGCAGCCACACAGAGCCTGAGAGCCATCCTAACTGAGAACGAAGCTGTTAGTGAGCGACGAAGCTAACGTAATACGACCTCCTTCACCATTTTCAGATCTTCATCTTCTCTCTATTGTTCTCCGACCTAAAATCTACGCTGCCTCAGCCGAGCGATGAAGCGAATCGACACCACTTCTCATCCCCTCACCCTCGTTCGGCTTCCTTCAGTCCTTCACCATCTTCTCTCTCTTCTTCTCTAGCCATAAATCTCTGATCAATGATATATATATATACATTGATTGATGAATCAAGTTATACATATTCACAGATTGATTATACTTTTGTTATCATGGGTTTTGTTTTCACAGTTAGATCATCCCTAGTTTTATTTTGATTCTCTTTCTGTAACAATAAGAAACCGAAAAACCCTAAAATTTAATCGGGGACAGGGTTGTGGCAGGGCGGGGACGGGGCAAGTGATGGCGAGGCGGGGGCGGTTATGGGGGTGGGGGTAAGATTTTAATCGATTATGGGGGCGGTTTTAGGGGTACTAAAATTAAACGAGGGCGAGGATGGGGAATGGGAAACCCGCCCCAAACCGCTCCATTGCCATCCCTATCTCTGTGACATGGAGGAGAGTGTGCGCGCTAGCAAAAGTAGCACGGAGATTATTAAACAAGGGATTAGATGAGGGTTTTCATGGAGGATAAACATGGGCCACAGTAATGATTCATTTATTTTTTTTCTAGTCAAATCGACTTAGAAACCAATCTGGTAATAGAATCAGATTGTGTGATCACAAATAAGACAAAAAAGAAATGAGGTGTTTGTGTGTGATTCATGCAATGTAATAGAAAGAGAGCAAATTAGGTTTCTGAATTAGATAGATAAACGATATTGGGGAAAAGATACATATTCATTCTGTGGTTCTCAAGGACCGAGGTAGCAAACCTCCCATTGTGCCAACAGAGTCTCCCATTCTTCAGTGTCATTCGCCCTTTTATAGACTTTAATGGCTATATCATGTTCCTCCAGTCCATCTATAGCCATCCTTCCCCCATAAACTGGACCAAACCCTCCCTCCCTAGTTCATTTGCAGGTAGATAATCGCTGAAGGAGTTCATTTGTTCCATGGAAAAACTTAAATGAACCATTTCCTGTAAAATAAAAATTGATATTAATGAAGAAAACCTAATTCAAAATGATTAAAGGTAAAAGCAATATATTGCATGAAAATAGAATTTAAGGCATTTTGATCAATTTTGGAATTATTACATAATTGAATTGCAATTCAAAATCATTTGTTAGGATCAACCATTCATCCAAAAT